CATGCAAACACAATCATGTCTATATAAAATGTCAAATAATGCACATAAGAGTTGATTTAAGTCTTAAGTAAAGCATCAAAAGCAAAAAATTTAAGCTAAAATAAAAATCTAACAAAATGTATCAAAAATATTTAACTAAATAATGTGTAAAGTTCTCTTTGTATACAACATTGTAAACTATTTGATGTTGCAAAAACTTATAGACAAGAATAATTTAAACAGAAAAGAAGAAAGCAACCATGAGCTGATCAGCGAAAACTGCTCAAAGCGCTGAAGTGGCATTTTTCGGGAGATGGAATTCGAGTAGGCCTTCACTGGCTTCAAATACCATATTGTAAACTTATTTTTTACCGTAATTTTCTCAAGTAAGGTTTTTAAAACATGAGAAAAGTGCTTTTACTACGTGTATTCTTGAGCAGCTAATTGGAATAATTTGTAAATTGTTACTAAGTTTTTTAATGTTCATGAAATGCTTTATTTTTTCTAATTTTTTATCCAATGACATAATTTCCTGCTGCTGCAATGTTTTGAATGCTTCTTAAGAGCATGTCAGACGAGGCAATATTTCTAACTTTTCCATGCAATTCACTGTTAAATTGAGACAAAGAAATTTTATTTCCGACCTTTCTGACACTGCGGAAATAAGTTTCAGAAATTAATGTTGCAAGGTGTGACTGCAGCTCAAAGTGCGCCAATCGATTTCGCAAATATATTTCAACTTGCTCGTGCTGTACTAGCAATTTTTAGTTCTGCTGACTGCTGCAAGTGCTATCAAACTAATCGAGTGTTACCTTGTAACACTGATCGTGAGTTTGTGGGAAATAATAACGGATAATTTAAATAAAATAACAAAAATGCGTTTAAAAAATTATTTTGCGGAATTTAATTATTTAGCTATAAATAATAAACTAATCTTCAAATTGAAAGTAAAGTTTAAGAAAGAGAAATAGCAAATAACTAGCAAAGCGGCTCACGGTTGCATTTCAGTGCCGAGAAAGACTTCCAGAAATTCATTCGCTATGTGAACATCCAAAAATAGGTTTAAGAAATTTTTCCTGCGACTCGCCTTTCGGCAATGAAAAACTCCTTTCGAAAGCTACTTTACATGCAAGGTGCGACTGCTCATGCAACTGTAATTTGTAAATTTCTCAATTTGACAGTGTTTTCGAAATATCTTGCATTGTCACGTCTGACACGCTCTTTATTTACATGCTAAGCATTTAGTGTTTTCTAAATATGGGCATCTAATTATTTCAAGATTTCGCATTATCTTGAAGCACTTTCGAAATGCCACTACTTTTGTCTGCGATTATAAGGTTTGCGACCAGGTATGTACATTTAGGAGTACTTCACAGTTTCAGGCTTGTTTTCAAAGCAGAATATAGTAAATAAATTAATAAAACGCGTACATATACATATGTATATGTATATAAATATATATATATATATATTTAGATTCTCTCATGGATCCTGTATACTTTATTATTTTTTAAAAATTAGTTTTTAAATACCAACTAAGCATAAAGAAGCAAACGAATACATAAGTCTATGACAGAGAAGCGCACTGCCCGACTCTACACGCCCTCCCGCATCTCGCAGTAGTTGTGGCCCATCGGCAGCGGCATGCGCTCTTATTATTAATTAACTGTAATAAAGTAATTCATTTACCCAAATAAATGCTATGATGATACTATATTAATGATATGACGATAATTATAATAAAAATAAAATACGCAGTTATTTTTCTACCATAATTTATTTTGCCAAAAATATGAATGTTGGAATTGGTATAAGCAAAAATTAAAAAAAGTCAGTATTGATCTTCATTATAATAATGATTGATATTGTTAAAATTTTCACATAATTTTTTTTAAGTAACTATTTCTCAATCAAGCAAAAAATCTTGATTAGCATCCTAAATGCATGAAATAGCCACACAGCCCAACGCTGACTCCAACAGAGACAGCAATTCGTGTCCCGTACTCCACAACAATAAAAGCGGTCTTACTTTGCACTTTTTGCGGTAACAGCGCATTCTCTTCTCCAGGTTTTTTCCCTTGCGCACGCATACGATGTCATCCGAACGCATGTCCAACGTAGGACAGTAATCGTGCTCGCCGTCCGCAATGAAAATGACTCGTTCGTAATTTACACCCATTTCACGCCTCTTCGTCATATAGTGCTCCAAAATGGTACGCTTGCACATATTGGGTGGGCTCAGTGGACATTTAGTGACATGGTATGGTCGTACATGCAGCCCATCGCTGGAGACAACGTAAGCAGGATTCGTGAAAATTGCTTTTATACATTTCGTTAGCTGATGATTGGCCAACCAGTCTTTAATGAAGATAGAATTGGCATCGCTTATGATGATGATGTCATATTTGGGATCACACGAGTCATGAAGATGCTGTACAAATTCCACGATACTTGGAACGGGCGGTATGGTCGCAATCAGGCGGCGTAGTTCGCCCACAGAGAATCCCATGGAGCGTAATTTATTGAGCAATGTATTCGTGTAGTCGATCCAGCCAACTTTGGTGAAATTATCCTCCTTGGGGCGTCGATATGTAGGCAGTAAATCGCGGAGAAGATAGGTTGTGTCTAGCGAGGTCAGTGTCTCGTCGAAATCCAATACCAGTAATCGGCGTGTAGGTGGACCAAAAGCCATTTGGTTATTCTTTTTTGAAATATTATTATTTCTTATGTTACAATTAAAATTTTAGTGGGAAAATAATTTCATTTATTTACCTTTTATTGTGATTAGCCGAAAAATCGAATTTGCATTAAGAAACAAGTAATTTTAAGCAAAAAAAAAAACCGACTTCAATTCTCATATACAAATTTAAGAGTACCGTTACTTTCTTTATGATCCAATGATCGGATCTAAACCAAATTAGTATGGGAACACCTTCCTTTTAAAAAAAGGACTATAGAAATTGGAAAAAAATTTCGAATTGATAACGTTCTCCTTTTTTTTTGGAAGTTGGTTAAAAATGAGGTAGCAAGAATAAAAGGGAGTGTTTAAACACAAGCTAGTTTTTTGAACAGCATGGTTTCCAGATAATGTTATTTTAGATTTCTCTTTTACTAAAACTAGGTATGCACGGTAGGATAGGTCAAATTTTGTGTACTATGCGCGTATACATGCAGGCCGATTATGAACAGAAACTCCCTGGGAGTTTTCTCTCTTTTCCCTTTCCTCCTATCATGAATAAACATTACCTGAGGATTTTGTATATTAAATGGCAGAGTTGAGCTCTCCTCTCCAAAAAGTGTCAAACAGTTTTTTCGAAGTTCGAATTTCTTCCTCCCAAGTTTTCGGCGAAAATGCTACTCCTTGGAAGTTATTTATTGGAAGATTTCTTTCTCGGGAGAAACAAATTTCCGGAGGACAAATTCCCCGGGAGTATTAAGAATTGCCCTAATGGTTAATTCTACAACGAAAACCATAAAAATCAGAGTTTCAATCCCTGTGTAAAATTAAAGACAATTCTGCAAAATATCATTAAAATATTGCAGTTTTAAAAAAGAAGAAAAAAGTTTGGTATGCGGTTTCTAGCCCATTAAATTTTAGTACGATAAAATGTAAATCTTAGGTAGCTAAGACTTACCATTGATTATTGGCAATTTTTTTTTGAAGGTGTCGCTCATTTCCTTAATATAATATAATGTTCCGCCGAAAACAAGCCAACAAAAAATTATGTAAGTCCGAGCTACCTCAGACTTGAACTTTTTTGTACTAAAATTTAATGGGCTAAAAAACTGCATACCAATTTTTTTTTTAATGAGTAATGAAAAAGTACAATATTTCAATAATTTGCGGAATTTTCTTAAATTTTCCACTCCCTTCGGAACCCTGATTTTTTGGGTTTTTGTTGTAGAACTAACCATATTTTTATAAAAATTTGCAGAAAATAAACAATTAAAAAAAAACATGTATATATATACATAGATATAATATTTTCCCGTATTGCAAAAGGGGGAATGGCGATTGTCTTTTTATAAAAGGCTGTTTTTCATGGCAGCAATACACTCGGAGGTTTGCCATTGCCATGGTAGTGCGCACTTTTAAGGCCTGTATGCAGCTCTCAAGAAAAGCAAAAACTCCATATGAAATGAGGTACAATAAATGGCTAAGAAATTTTCTTGAGTCAAATTTCCTTATAAATAGGTATAAATATTTCCAGTGTAGGTGAGGAGGAAGCCTTAAAACCGTGTTTTTTTAATTATTTAAGGAACTCTGTGCTTATTCTTTTTTCGAGGTTGGCAATGATGCTACTTCACATTCCCGATAGGGACGTTCCGATACCACAAAGTATCGATACCTATTCAAATGAGTTTACTGAAATCCCTATTTCGATACTACTTATATGAGTGAACCGAATGTATCGATACCTACTTATATCTATAATTTTTCATCCTTTTAGATGCAACAAAGCGAAAGTAATATCCAGGCGTTATCTGTGACATACCTTTAGCGACACCTGAGCGCCCTATTTAAGAATTTGATTGAAAAATGCCTTATCTCAGAAAACCTTTCCAGAACACCCTATTTAAGAATTCGGTTGAAAACCACCCTATCTCAAATATTTTCAATATATTTTCAGTTGAGGTATCGATATGTATATATGTTCATTAGTAACACTAGAAGTAATACGATTACTTAGAAAAAAATTTTAACGTTTGAAAGGCTCCCACAAAACGTTACTGCTACAAAGCATTGCTTTAATTTTGCTGTGGTATCACTAACTTTGTAAAAATACATCCACACTTTAGATTTTGGCGGTGCCATTGCTTAAAACAATTATTTGTCATAAAAACGATGCAAATATTTTCCATAGAAAAATATGCCCAACAAGAAATGGCACTTGCTCAAATTGATTCGATACAAGTACTTATCTTTCGATACCGAGTAGGTATCGAAACAATGATTCGAGTAAAAAAAGTAGTTGGTATCGAAGCAAAAGTATCGAGTACGTTCTCGTATTTACTTGTATCGAAGCATCCCTAATTCCCGATCTGTCATCGTGTTTGTAAAATTCGGCTGCCATTTATAGTAGTTCTGCTGAAACATTTTAAGTAAGAAAACTGCTGTTTTAAAGGAGTTTTACATTAGAATTACCCAAAAAAAACGCAAAAAGTGTATAGCAAAGTTTCTTAATAACTTTATCAACAAAAGCCGCCTATTCCATTCTCGCATTTGCGGCATTGGTTTAGTTTTGTCAGCTAGGTACATAAAATATAATTGAACCATGGTGGACGCTGCCCGTCAAATGTTGGACGAGCTCATGGGCCGTAATCGAAATTTACATCCATCGGAGGCGCCACGTAAAATTAGTTGGGATGATCCTGATGTAAGTATGAGGACTAAAATCGTTTATAAAAATATAGGCAGACGGCGTTGGTTGGTGCAAAATCGATAGCACATGCATGCGCAACGATAACCAAGCGCAGGCTATGAAGCATGTAACTACAAGTAACATTGAAATAATTCATCTTGTTTCCTATGGGTTCTTTGCAGTTTTGCCAATACTATGTTGTAAAATTTTGCCCACATGACCTTTTCATAAACACTCGCGCGGACTTGGGGCCGTGCACACAAATCCATGATGACGAGGCAAAAAGGTTGTACGAAGAAGCACGCCCATCTCCTCGTAAGCGTTCTTACGAAGATGAGTTCTTGCGATTTTGCAACAACATGTTAAATGATGTTGATCGAAAAATACAAAAAGGCAAACAACGACTCCAGCTCATGCAACGCGATCAGCCCATACCCACCATACCGCTTTCCAAGTACGAGGAACAGTTAAATAATATGAACGCACGCATAAAAAAGTTGCTATCCGAAGCAGAAGAAGCTGGTATTCGTGGGGATGTTGATCAGGCCAAGGACCTAATGGCTCTGTGCGAGCAATTGAAAGACGAGAAGGACGCACTAATGGCGCAACACGAGCAACATCAGCAGTTGCATCAGCAGACAAATGGCGCAATGAAAGATTCTATTACAAACTCCCCACCGCAAAGCATAGAGGGTGAAAAATCACCGAAAAATGAAGAGGGTGCTAGCACCAGTGGAAGTGAAAAGAAAATACTACCGTGGATGCAAGATTTGGGCACTCTACCTGAAAAGCAAATGGAAGTTTGTGAGATTTGTGGAGCTTTTCTGATTGTTGGTGATGCGCAACAACGCATCGAAGACCATCTCATGGGAAAACAACATCTAGGCTACTCCCGCTTACGCAAGGCCGTAGAAGAAATACACGAGCGTAGGCAAAATGATCGTGAAGAGGAGGAGCGCAAGAGGCGCGAAGAACGTGAACAACGCAGTGTACAGCGAAACGCTTTTGGTAATCATAATGATCGCAGGCGGTATGTATGGTTATGTATTCAGTTGAAATTACCATTTTCATATGTTTTTTAACAGCAGCGAGCATCACGATCATCGTGACCGCGACCGCGAACGTGAGCGTGATAATCGTGAACGTTCACGTGATCACAGTAGCCGACACTCGGCCGACCGACACCGTCGTAAGTCGCATAATTGGAAATATGACAGATTCTCCATCAACTGTTTAACATATTTTAATTTTGGATATAGATCATCATAAATCATCGCATCGCAGACGTTCACATTCGCGCAGCAGTCATCGACGCAGCAGCCGGGATCGTTATAGCCGCAGCCGGAGCCGTAGTCACAGCCGCTACTAATTACACACCAACAACACAAGTTCGTACGTGGCGGATTGAGGTACTCCAAAAAAAAAAAGCAAACTATATAAACTTAAAAATCTAGCCTAATCTAATAAAAGAATACTCTCAAGTCGTAGAACAAGGTGAGTACAATTAACATTTTAACAGTATTTCTATTTAGAATTTATATATACAAGTATATTTTTCATATCAATGCGTACATTTAAAAAAGAAAACGCGTGCTACATTATTTGGGGGTGTAATTAGTTTTGGGTGCTCAATAAGCGAAGCCCTCTTTCATCTAACATTACGAATGATTTGTGTTTTGTCTAGAATAGGTTGAACGTCACAATATTCATAAAACGTGAGCGCCTGAAGTGGTTGGTCAAACGCATATCGAATGAGTTAATTAGTTTAGCTGGTAAACGGTGCATATAGCAGATTAGTCGCAGTGTCAACATAGGATTCACTGTAGAAAAATAGAAACCTGCATGCTTTTTGGGCTTTCCGCAAATTTCAATAAAAAAAAACTGTACAATTGAGTAGTCCACTTGCAAAGTGCGCTATGTAAATTTGTTTCGATTTTTAGTTTTTGGTGGGTAACGTACCAGTATTTAAAATGTTTCATGTTCACAAACAATTCAGTGCAAAATCTTTCTATATTCTGAAAAAATAGCATCAAATGTTAATTACTCTTGCAAAAGTCGCTATAATACTTACATATGTATGTATTGTACAATTTCAAGTCTCCATCTTCTGATGAACTTAGAAAACTGCAGGAAAACGTGGTAGTTTCGGTGCCTAGTGCAAGACGTCTTAAAAAAGAAGCAGACCAACCTTCATGGAAGAGAGAACGCGAAAAGCTAAAAAAAAGCTCGCTATGTAAAAGTTACTGTTTCAAAACTCGCTATATTCAATTTTTATATATAAAATTTGCAAAAACTACCGCACTGCGTTTTTTTTTTAATTTAGGCTGTTATTTATCCAAATATTCAGATAATAAAAAGAAATATACAAGTTGGGTGTTACTTGTTGTTGTAGACGTTTTTTTTTATTAATTTATGGCTTACTATTATTTTTATAACGCTGTTTGCACGTAAGTGGACTACTAAATTAAATTAAATATTTAAAATTCCCCGAAAGTTTAAATTCGGTGTAGCAAACATATTTCCCTAGTTATTTTTATTTTAATGCAACATTATTAATGTATGTAGAATTGGAAAAAAAAATTAAATTAACTTTTAATTGTTAGGCGGAGAGACATTCATGCACATTGAAGTCGTTGCAGCGTAACTGCAACGCCGTGTCAGCGCATGCTCTACCTATGCGACTCCACTCTCAGCTGGCTTTAATTGTCACAAAATGCCACCATTAATTGCCGTAGGTTGCGTCATTGTCAGAGTATAAAATCCGTTAAGTTGGCTGCGTCATTTCGAGGTACATTTGAAGCAAAATTAAAAAAAAAAACTAATAGATTAAAAATTATGTTATTGCAAGGTAGTTGGTTTTAATTTTTGAGTTCTTTGTTTAACTTTTCATAGCGTAAATTCACTTACAAAGCGATGATAAGTGACTATAGTCGATCGCATACATATATACACGAGCGACTGAATGTCCGCCCGAACCCAGTTTAGTAGCGACTACAAGACCAGTCCCCTCCGAACAAACTCGATTACAAGGTACTTTTTGGATTTTTTTCAAACATGTAGCATAAAAAAAACATAACACTTAACTAAATGACAAAACCAAATCAAAAGAAGCAAATTAATACTCGTATTTTTCGTACTGTATGTTCTGGAAGTCAACATTTGAAGATTACCATACCAATAACGTTTGTAGAATTTAAGTGACCCGCGTACGCATTCGTTCGTACGCCAGTTCGTTACTTCGTACAATACGCTCAATAAACTACGCACACATTCACCCACATCGAGGTAATTGTTTAAACAAAAACTGAATTTTGCAAATTGCGTCTTCATTCTTATTTAGTAGGAAAAAAAGATTTTGTGTGTTGGGAAGTTAAAAAAGTAATGTGGTGGAAGTAAAGGGATTGAAGTTGATGTGTGATTTAGTGGAAAACTCAATTTTTTCATACCCGCTTTACAAAGGTAACAATAATTTATGATACGGCTAACTTGTGTTGTTTTCTCGTATAATTTTTAAATAGTCAGTAAGTTATTCAATTATGTGAAATATTCTTATTCTTTTCCATATACGAAAACGTTGCCATTTACGAAAACATAAAAATATGAATTCTAGACTAAAATTACTTAAAAAAACTTTATCAACCTTTTTCGGCACAAAAAAAATACTTGTTTAAATGCGCCACGAAAGTATTTTTAATAAAATTTGTTGAGCGAAAATTAAATGAATAACAAATATTTTGTTAAAACCGAAATTCTCATCTAAAATTTTTTCGTTGTTAGTAACAAACTCTGCCTGTGTGTATTGCATACTTTTGAGCGCCACAAAGCATCTTTTACAGGTCTATTCTGCGCTGATAATAAAAATTTTGGTAACCGGTAAATAAAGTTGCTGTAAATTTTTAAACCCTTTCATAGCTGAATTGCTGTTTATATTGACAACGTAATTAATATTATGGTTACAAGTGTGCCAACATTTTTTGGTAATAAAATTTTTCCGGTTACAAAATTATGGGTAACGCGCAGAATAAACATGTTAGAGGCATTTTGAAATTCAGCTTCCGTTCGTTTAAAAAAAAAAAAAACTTTCGTGGCCAACGCTGGCACAGCGCATTATTCCCAACCTCATAATTCCTTTAAGCAAACAATTTTATCTTTACTCTCCCTAATTCAAGCTATAAAAGAAAGCTTATTATTATGTGATGGTATTTTGTTTTTAGCAGCTAATAAATCGAAGTATTCGCAAAAACTTTCACAATACTTGTGCACTTTTACAGAAATCACCTGCGAAAAGACAGTGCATCAAAATGGAACTATAATCACAACGCCCTCTAAAAACAATCACCAACTGCTTCCTTTGTTCCTGTAGTCCGCGTGACTTCAACCGCTGAGCCAGTCATCAACAAAGAGTGAACTTATTGCAGGTAACAGACACCTTCCAAAAATCAACATTTTTTTTCAAACACAAACAGCTGTGCACAGCAGACGAGCAATTATTTGCCCTAATAATAAATAACAGAAACAACAGCCAAGTACTTATAATCCCCAACGACAACAGCCGTCAGCAACACCGTACACGTGAACAACCAAAGGCGCTTGGGCCGAGCCGGCAGCATGCACGTTAGGCCGCGATATAGCCAAAAAAGAGGTGAATTTTTAACTATTGAGTTTATGCTTGAGTTTTCTAATGCGTAATTTTATAAACGAAAAAGAAAAGCAAACAAATTGGCAAACGGTAAATCGCTGCCAACTAATTTATCTACTTCATTATTTTTCTAATTATTGTAACTTTTTAACTTTTTTGCAATTAAGCGCGATTTTTACGTTAAAAAACAATATTTGAATATTTTTAAAGCGAAATGAATTATTATGAACATGTATTGTTACTGATTGAACTGGTGTTGTTTCTCATTTTGAAATTTAAGTTTTCAATTCATAATTTAAAGTACTTATTAGAGGCAAATCAAATCAGCATATTGCGCGATTTTTATATGAAAAATTACAAAAAAGTTAAAAAGCTAAACAACTTGTAACAAAATATTACACATGTAGGCGCTTTTCTCGTTGTACAAAATGACCGTTTACTTATTAAAAAAAAAAAAACCTGCGCAGGCAAAAGCAAAAAAGAATTACCCGGCTTCGTAGGTATTAATTAAAGTAGCGGAGTAATTTATCAAATACAGCTGGTTACGAAAATTTTCAATAAAATATGCGAATTCGAAGCAAAAACATGGCGAATATTGTATTATTTCGCTTCATTTTCATATATGTATGTGAGTTGCAAGAAATGAATTTATATCCGGCTGAGTGCTGTGACTTCAGAAACATTTCCACCAAAATTGTTTTGTTGAATTTTTATGCTCTCACAATCACAACAATAAGTGCATTTAGCTGAATTGCACTTGAATTGAATTTAAATTTAAAAAGTTCATAACCTAGTAAAAATTACGGGTGAGTATGTTTATCTATTGTCGGACAATTCGGCGACCATAAATTAAGTAAAAACGCCAGAAGTTGCATGAAAACTCTAATTTATTGAAATCGAATTTTTTTTTATTATTTTATTATTTTTTTGTTTTATTTTTTATTTATTTCAAAGATTCTCAATGACTAGTCACGTACATAGAAATGATTTAATTTTTATATATGCGTGACTTAACGATTAGTTTACTTACTTGACATACATACATACATTTAACGTTTTTTTTTTATTGTTACAAAACGGGTTAATTATGTATATAAACAGTTTTTCTCTCAGAAATCATATAGCACATTTGCTGCACTAGTGCCATAATCAAAAACTCGAGAAAAACAGCTGTTTACATATCGCTAGCTTAGAGTGAAAAGTTGCTAAATCCAGTTTTTATACGTAATAATTACCGCAATACTGCAGCCTTGTTGCTTTCTTGATAATATGATGCTGATGCTCAACTGAAAATCTTCTGCAATGCTACAGAAATTGCGCAGTAAAAAATTGTATGTTGATTTTGACTTGGCCAATGATGTGGAACTGATGTAGGCAGAGTCGCCCAAATTTTCGGGTGTAGCGTGATTCTTTTCCATAAAAAGTAACATTGCCGCATTAATTGCAACTCGAATAGCCCCATATTCTCCTTATCAAGCTTCTTAATTGTCTGATGAAATCTCAAAAAACGTAAATATTGAATTACATCTCTATATTATTAAACGTGCGATATAGTATGTATATACATACATTAGGGTGCACATCGAAAAGTTTTTTTTTTAATTTCAAGACCCTACCCCCTAATTTTCTTCCTTTTTATGAGAAATACTATTTCCTATTTTTATAGATTTTTTAAAAATCATTTAAAGGTCGCGACTTGTCATTTTAGGTTTTGTAGATATATCAGTCTTTGAATGACCTTTTTTCATTAAATTTTAAAGATCGAGCATGTTGTGAGAAGTGGATTTATAGGCCTTTAAAATGATGTATAATAATCTATTGTCAGACTTGGATTGTTGGGAGTTTTCATCGGGCAAAAAAAAAAGCACATTTTTTCTTATTTTTAGTTTTTACCATGGCTAAATTCCACAATTTAAAAATATGTAGTACTATCTAAAATTAAATTTATTTTTCAATCGCATAAAAATTGTCGAAGTTTGACAACTCTTTTTAAATACAGCCTTGTATTTATATGTGTGTATTAACCAGATTTCCGATTTTTGAGCAGTGTGGCTAAGAAATTCATCAATATTTATTCAAACTTGATACATAAAATCGCTCTTTAGCAAAAAAATTTCAACAAATTTAGTCGAGATTGGTGAAGTAGTTTTTGAGTACACATATATAAGTGGGCAGTGCCACACCCATTTTCCAAAATTTTTTTAAAAAAACCAATTTTTTTGCTAAAGAGCGATTTTATGTACCAAAAGGGCAGCTCTAAACGATTTTGAAAAAAAAAAAATGCAATAATATTTCTCATAAAAAGGATAAAAACTAGGGGGTTTTCAAATTTCAAAAAAAAAAAAAAATTCCATGGCCACCCTAATATACATATGTTGTTCTAGTGAGTTACTGGTAGTCGGTACAGCTATGAAATTTTTACACAGAGCAGGTAGCGGTTATTTCTACATACTAACAATTTTTTTTTTTTTGTTATGGCACTTGCAGCAAATGTGAGATATACATTTTTCATATCTCATTCAAGGTAGCCTCAAACAGATGCGATACTATCGGTGCGAAACAAATATTTAAGATATGCAATCAATACGGTATATGGGATGTACAGATGTACATATCAGAACGATACGATGCGTTAAAAAATTGTATTCTAGTAAGCACGATTGATCGAGCGATAGAGTGGCTTGTTCATTATTCAATTCTGAAATTAAATGAATAATTTAACTCGTCAATTATTACCCCATATTAACATAACGAAGATGAAGCACCACAGTGTATTGTATCGCGCCAGTTTACGGGATTTTGCTTTTTATAGTTATCGCATCTGTTTTTGGCCACCTTAAAGCGGTGTTTTTTTCTCAATAAGACAATCATTCCATTTGTTTTTTTTTTTCAATAGAATAAGAGTGGTATAATTTTGAAAGAGGGCATCATACCGACCATTTCCGCTTAACAAAGTTATATTCCAGCACTTCTGAGTTTGGATTTGTGTGCACTCAAACGCGAGCAAAATCTCGACGAGATTATCAAAAATTAGAGGTAGTGAGCGAACAACAAAATATCCGCAGATCTCGTGTTTAAGCAAATATGAGGAAAGCAAATAGCACCTTTTGGCCTATCATGAAAGTAATATCGTACATGTAGATAATATATAAAATTAAATAAATCGCATGAGGGAAATTTGTGAAGTTGTTTTTCATAATTTGGGTGCATTCCAAAACGCCAAAATACAAAGCATCAGTCTCTTATTTCTAAACCGAACCAGAAGATTGCGCAACCTAGTTGAAAACTAGCATCTAACCGTAGCTAAGCACATTTGGCATTGCAATCTACAGAGATTTAGAAATAAAATAGACTGATGCTTTGCATTTTTTTTGGAATGTATTCTTTCGTGTGTAATTGAAGGGACCGCGAGAATTGTGCTGTTTACAAACCGCCCTTATATTTTGATAAGGATTATTTTTCCTGAGGACATCGTATGAAATATTGTACTTAGTATTTGTACTCTTTGAAGAAAAGGTTATGTGGGATGTTGCTGGGTTAAAGTGCAAGTATATTTCATACATATATTTTTAAAATAAAAAAGCTTTTCCTTAAACATCTAAGCCCTAACTCTTTAAACTACTGTTGTCGCAGTACAAATACACCGTAACCTTAACCTTTCAGGGAAAATGGTCCGCATTATGTCCTCTTTCGAAATTATGCCATGGTTATTCTGTTGTAAACATGCTTAATTTTTTTTTAAGTTTTTGAAAACTCAGACTATATTTTGTATTTTCTTTTGAAAACACAGACAATTTTTGCATATTAAACTTTTCTGAAAATCACTTGGCTCTTCTGAAACCCATATTCTTTAACGTTTTAAGTTAAGTTCTTTTACGTTACTTCCTTGTTCTTTTAATCTTGAAAAAGCCGCTACAAACATTGAACATTTTTTTAAATATATTTTTTATGTACCTAAGCGAATTGCAAAATTTTGATATATTAGCTAAGAGATGTGATTTATTAAGAACAAGTATCTTATTTAATTTGAGTCTCGGTTTACATACAATGGAAGCATTTTTATTTCACATTAAGATTGTAAACTTTGATTTCATGTTTAGTTTATTTTTTAATATTTTATATATCCAATTAGTAATACTTTTGAGAATAAATGCTCAACATTTTACCAGTGGGGCAGTCTACCTACTCGGTAACTAATCTAAAGTGTGGTTTGTACGTTCTGCACGGCTTTGGATAGTTCCACGCGCGATGGTATCAAATAGAAGGCCGGCGATACTTCCTCGCCGCATGGGCACTGACAGCCGTTGATCCAGCTGAAATTACCCACCTTCTGCTCGCATTTCGGACAGTGCAAGCGGCCTTGTGTGTTGTGTGAGATGTTACGCATCCAGGAGATCGGTTCCACAAACACTATATCGCGACAAACGGCCGGCTGCTGCTCCTTGGCAGCATCGGCAGCACCAGCGCCGGTGGGTGAGTTCAGTGAAGCCTTGCGTATTTGAGCGGCGATCTGTTCGAGCAACCGAGGCGCTTGCTGTGCATCTGTGTTGGCGTTGGCATTGCTTGACGTTGGTGGCAGCCCATTGTTTGCGGTAGCTGACGCAGCAAGCGATTTATTATTGTGGAGTAGCACATGTGATTTGGAAGCCAAGACGCGCCGGCATTTGCGACAACGATAGACAATGGGTTCTGGATTCTCTTGCGTGACGGCCGGATCCGACTTAATCAGACTATTGAAGGATTGTGGCAATATTTTGGCTAATGACAAATAAGAAGCAAAGTAAATAACTTTGTCGCTGTAGCAAAACTAATTTTTAACATCATACCTTTACGAACTTGTTCACCAGCCAAACGTAGACGATAGAGTTTGTAACGCTGATATTGTGCGTCGATTTTGCAGCCCATGCGGCGATAGAGCTTCAGCTGCGACACGAAACCCGGATTAGGCTGCACGAAGCGACGTTTCGAGCGTACCAAATCAAAAGCAGCTTGATACTCTACATCGTGTTGTTTCATAATGAAAGCTATGACTGCTGCGGAACTGCGACTGACGCCGAAATAACTGAAAAGGAAGGAAAGTTCAGAAAAATATTAAAGGTAGAAATAATTTCGTATTTAATTGGTTTGAGTTGGTAGTGCAGGGGAGCGTACTAACCAGTGTACGAGCACATTCCCATTTTGAGCCAAAGCCTCTCTTATGAAGTCCGTACAAGTATCTAGATGATGCAAGATATCCTCCTTGGGCATGTCGGCAACTGGAAATGAGATTCAAAGGAAGTTTTTGAGTCTTAATAGAATCTGAAATGCATATGCATTAACATATACGTATGTATAATAAAGATTGAATCAAGCTCTCAAGGCATAATTTGGGCCAAAGCACACTTATGGGATGTCGTAAGTATTTTGAAAGGATTAAAGAAATAGAAAATAATAATTCCTATCACTGAGAGGGGAAGTTACATCAGGAGCAGCAGAGGTCGGCCCTAAACTCTTGTTTGCGTAACATCTACGTAACAGCGCTACGGACCTTAACATATTTCATGTAAACAATTCTGTCATCCGCCCACATCGCATTACAAAAATATTGAATAGATTTTTCCCGTTCCATTGCACGCCACATATCAGTACATTCACTGTTTATAGATGTCAGTACTTGTTTATTTTCATCATGTGTGAAATATGGCAATTCTAGAGGTCTTTGCTGGTCCACCCGCCTTACGTCCGATACTGATGGCTAATATAAGCACTGCGCCGATGTGTAGCCGCGCTGCCAATAAAATATTTCGAGCCTGTCGCTACTATGCGTTTATTCAAATAATAGCATAATAATAAACAAATCCACATCCGTCAACGTCAAAGCAAGCCCAAGGCAATGGGTGGCAAAGGTTCCACATTAAGCAACCAACCAGCCAGCTGATATGAGTGGCAGTTGGAGGTACATATGCACATACACATGTGGGTGTACATATGTATGCATAAGATGCGCCTATGTAATGGCCCCTCGAATATGTGTGGCAGCGGTTTGAACGGTATGTGACGTGCGATGCCACTTATTCACCCTTGTCAATGACCGCCGGCGGTGTGGGTGGTGTATGGCAGCAGAAAAAAACATTAAAATTTAATAAAACCTACACAAGCCAAATTTTATGGCTACAGCAGTAATTGAAAGCCATACACAAGAGGTGGAGGTAGCATAGTGTGAAAAAAGCGGATGTTATGGTGTACATATGTAAACTGCGTACAGAGGAACTTACATGAGACCTATTAGGATTACATATGCTGCTGTTAAAAGTGCGTCTCAATACGTAAAAAATGCGCGTTTGGCTAGCGTAGACTGCCCTCATGCGTATTAGTGTTTATGTGATATAGGATAAACTATGTATGTACATCAGAAGCCTAGCCAGCTGAAAATGTCTCGTCAAGGTTTTGCGTATAATGTTTTCCACAAGAGGGACCTTGTGGATGATTGTGAGGCCAGAAAAGAAATGGTATTTAATCTGCTGTTCTTGACATAATAATACATATGTTCTATTTTTATAATATGGGAAAAAATGCATAAATGAAAATATGCTGACCTTTTGAGAGCAGTGCTAAGTAACTTACTGAGCACAAGGGCGAAAATTAATTAATTTTATTGATTTTATATTTTTCTTTTGTAAGTACGCTAGGAGTTAGGTATGTTCCTCTTGCAGAGAGTTGTCATATATTATAAATCGTTTTGCAGTTAGAACACGCAAAATTTAGCTTACTGTGCACGTATTTGGTTGTAAGAAAGCTTGCTTGTGTTATGTGTTGCGGCAACGGCACTGAGTCTAGCGTCAGTATGTGTGTTATGTTGAAGTTCTTCAATGTTTCCATGTGGGTCGCTGCGGTTAAGTTACCTATGTATAGCAGGTGAAAATGAAGGATAAGTTGTGCAGTGTCATTGAAGTCCTCCCAAAAGCTTACCCAAGTAGAGCCCCGATTCGATTTCGTTCACGCTAACCGGTCCGCCATCGAAGTCCTCGCGCTGCAGTGTACCAACGTTTTGCAAACGCCGATGCTGCTGTTGACTTTTACCATTTGCATTTGATGCACACTTTGCGGCCCCATCTAGGGCAACTGTTGCGCCAGCTGCGGGTGTTGTGTTCGTTTGTTGTGTGCTGCGCTCCACTTGCATCTTGCCAATTTGTTACTATTCCTAAATCTTGCTAAATGCTATTGCACTGTTTATGGAATGGTTGTGCTCTTCACTGACCGCGTGCTGGGACTGTGCTATGCAGTCTGCTCTTTATTTTTGACTACAGTGACATATGGCTATGTGCACTTTTTGTTAGCCATATAAAACACAAATATCTTGTGCAAAGAAACGTCTACAATACATGGCGATGCGTTGTGCGCACGACCGCGCAAAACAGCAGTGGTGGTGTTTTTGCCCACCGCCAATTGTTTTTGTTTACCTTTCGCGTGCCAAATGAAAACAGCTGATTTTGACTTTCGAGGAAAACATGCCATAAAGAGGGTTGCAGCTTTGTTTTTAAATAGCGCCAACTATTGCACACAAATATGCAAGCAGTTTAATCTACAGTGATACAAATCGCATATTACCGGAAGAGTCCAAATTTATATCTGGCCAAGGACAGGCCCCAAAAAACTGGGGAATTTTGTATGCTGTTACAACAACAACTTTACTTTTAACCGACTTCCAAAAAAGGAGGAGGTTATCAATTCGTCGGAATATTTTTTTTATGTATGTATGTTACCGCATAACTTTGGACCACGTCATTGGATCATTGGTACATGGTTTATATGATAATTGAAGTCGGTTGTGTTTTGGCTTTTTGCTTCAAAATTACTTGTTTAATATTATGCGCGTTCCTTATCTCCCAGAAATAGTCAGAAAAAGTCCGAAGTAGTCAGATTTAGTCCAAAAAGCGTTCCTTAACTCGGAAATGACAGCAAAAATGAGAGAGCAACAGTCAGTGAGAGCGACTCTCATCAGTCCGAAGTAGTCAGATTTAGTCAGAAGAATTTTTTCTGGCAAAATCCTGAAAAGTGTCAAACTCAACTGAATTTAAATTAACGGAAATTAAAGAATACGCAAAAAGTGAGAATAATCTAAAAAGTAAAACAAATGAATTGAAATTGGAAGGAGGCAAAAGATAATTGATATAGCAAGTGTTTATTGTGCTGGTGCTTGTGTGAATGTGTTTTGTACATACATTTCTGTTCTTATTTGACGTTAGTTTTGTTGTTGCCATTCTTTGGACTAAAAATTTGGTTTTTTGCGTTCCTTTACTTTTCCTGTTACTCTCTTTTAGTGAGCGCATTTTGCTTACGCTCTGGCATTTTGACACTTTTCAGATTTTAGTCCAAAAAGATAAGGAATGAACCTATTGCGACCGATTTTCTGTTCCTTTTTTCGAACCAAGTACGAAAATACTACGCTACCAAATTTTGTAACTTTGCGCTCTCACTCTTGTTTTCTTTAATTTTCATTTTCTGTTTGAATTAATTGACCAAAAAGCCTTTTCAAATCGAATTAATTAACGTTTTAAATTGCCAGTGGTTAATCCAAAGTAAAGGTCAAACTTGTGTCCTCTAAATAAATTTAGAAATTTCCGGGTGCAAAAATTTTCCACCCACTTATTCACCATTCACACACGTGTGCAATGTGCAAAATTGGGAAAGCGTAACTGTAAGAAATCAGCTGCATGCTTGCATTCACCCACAA